CACAATGGCTCTGATACCAAGAAGAAAATACGGAAATGAAGCGGAAAAAAAATAAAAGGCACATTATAACATTATTGAATGATGACCAAAGGCCATAAACACTCAGTACACATTTGTTCCTATTTATAATAAAATAAAAATACCAACTCCCCACTATTCTGTGACTAATGTCTAGCCAAAGAATAGATAACAAATATCAATAATAATTTAACAACTTGTATCCTTTGATTTGAATTTGACAATCTTATCACTCCAAGATTTTCTAGTCTCATCCTCATCATTTTTGTTGTGATTTTGTTTGACATTTCTAACAGTTAAAAGAAGATGAATGAACTTTAATTAAAGCAGAGTAGAATATCTTGTTCCATCTTTTAAATTTTAGTAATATTTCAGAAATTATAGAAGTCCTGAATTATTTGGTATTGACGATTAATTTAGACAAATAAATGGATATTTTTAAACGCTTTAGACTTTTAGACGAATAAGTTTCAATCATAATTATCAAACTCAACTTGATTATTGACACAACCTGAAAGTATGGATGTTAAACGGGTCGAGCTAAACTGCTCAACTCGTTTACTTCCAGGATCGGCTTGGCCTACAATGCGAGCCAGCTCGTTTCATTGATGTTTGACTTGGCTCAGTCCATGAGTAGCTTGCAGCTCGTCTGTTTTTTTCTATTTTTTATTGAATTTGATTCGAAAATTTCACTTTCATTTCCTAATTACGTGAGCTATAATTTTAACAATTACACTAATAGTCATTCGATCAAAGACATTAAGAGGAGAGCATGGATTTATTATAATAGTTACACTAATGGTCATTCGATCAAAGACCTTAAGGGAAAATCCTACATGACATTGTTAAGTACCAACGTGTCACCAAATGATATTATTTGTTGAGCCAAGTTAGTTAAATTCTTTGTTAAAAAGAAAAGAGCGTGTATTTATTATACGGCTTGAGCCAGAAATTTCAATCAAAATTAAAGTTGCATTACGTTTTCTCATCTAAACATGTTTAATTCTAATTCATGATTTTCGCACTTGGCATAATAAATAATATCGTTTGGTGACACGTTGACACTTAACGGCATCACATAGATTTTAACTTTAATTTTTTAATTAAGATAACATTATTATAGTAATTAAAATTTTGAGTAAATACCAACATAAAAAACATTCCATAAAGAATAATTTCACTAATCATTAATGTAAATAATTAAAACTTGAGTAACAAATAGATTAATTAAGGCACAATTCCAGCCTATTGTTTTAGACCTCTTTAGAGTGTACAATTTTTTTCCTTTCTGAGGTGCCAGACTGGAATTATTAAAAATAATATAATTGAAAGAATCAAATACAAGTTGTTCCGACATCTCATTATTAAAAAAATGGTCTGAGATTCAACATTAATTAATAAAGGGACAGAATAATGATGTTGACAGTTAATTGATTAAGTAAAATAATCTGATTAATACGATCCCTTCATATTAGTTCATGTTTGATTGCAACAAATTTCATGAAAAATGTAATTTCACTTTGACCGTTTGATTGCAACGTGAAAATGGAAATCGAATTTTAAGGTACAACCACATTAAACTGCATTTTTTTTTCATGGAAAACGAATTCTTATGAGTTTTGTGAGCTATAATTTTCCAACTAACATTAAATTGGAATTTCTTTCCACATTTTGTCTATCAAACGTACCCTTAATAATTGTGATTGCAACATGAATAATTACTAAAAAGGGAAAAATAATTAAGATTGAATAAGCTTCGCTAAATTATGATTAGAAAACTATTGGGCATTATATGCAGGTTATTTTGTAATTAGAAAAAAGTAATATCATCCCATTATAAATTTATACATAGGGTTTCTTTTACGGTGCTTTTGAAAAGTCAAAAGCAGCTTTTGAGATAAAATGTTGCTTTTGAAAATGTTTGAATAATTTTACGAAAGTGCTTTAATTGACTAGATGAACTTTAAAGAAAATTTGCTTAAAATAGCTTATTCAGAGAGCTCTTGTATAAAAAATAGAAATCGTAACAAACGGACCCTTATTAATTATAAAATCTATACACTATTTTATAGAACTTGCTTATGTTGTTTTTTTTGTCCAACATTGTTAAAAAATTTAAGATTGAATATTCAAAATCTTAAAATATGCTTACCAAATTTAAACATCTGGTCAGAACGTTGCTTTGACTTTAGATGGCTTGTACGTTTCATATTTTGACATTATCTTCTTTTTCATTTGAAAGTTAAAATTTATTTGCATGATGCAGGCTTAAGCAAGTCTATGAAATTGTTTTTCAATAAATGACTACTACTGACTTTTTAGACAGTAAATGTCCTATTGGGACGGCATTTTTTCTATGTTGAAATAAGCTAGATTGAAGACAAATATTTACTCGTATCGTTGAGTTCTATTCGTTTCAATGTACCACATTCATTGGTAATTCATCGGGAGTGAAAGGCATCTCACTCTTACAACCATGACCATGTAGTCTTTATTTATATCGGTGAAAGAATGATTTATTACCATTTTGTTGAATGTGTTGCGCTCGTGGGATGTAATGATTAAGGATTTTGCCACTTTGACAGAAGAAATTTAACTGATACAGTGACGTAATCCGAAGTGATAGTATGTGATTTGATGAAAAAACTAATCGTGTTTAAAGCAGTCCAATGATTAAATGACACGTGACATTAGTCGAGTAGTTTAACACCGTAGCATGATTGAATGATTAAAGCCATAACAATGGTTGAATCAAAGGAAGAGTTGCTACCCAAGAAGCGTTATCTTTGACAAATTGTGTTGGCAATTTTAGTAAAAGAAAGACCTTGCGTCTATGGGTTGTGAACAATTTGCAACAACTTTTCTGAAATGATTGGCTTTTCAAAAGTGAAATTGACGTACACTTAAAAAAATGACCATTTTTGCTCATAAGCCTTAAGTTGAGAATGTCCGTACCAAGAATAAAAAACATTAGGGACCTTAATTGCACATATTTACTTCCAAATTTCCAAAATTATACTTCCTCGATTTAATAAAAATATGCTTGCTTTCATTTTTTGTATGTTCCAAATTATAGATCATTTTTCTTAGAGAGAGTATAATTATTTTTTAGTTTTATAATATGTCCATATTTAATATGTATTTGTATGATGCTATCATCAAATATGAATTATTTTTATTTAAGTGATTATTAATGTAATGGTATAATAAAAAAATGTAAATATAATTTATATTTCCAACAATATTATTCCGTTTTCTTAATCTGCGTGCGTGTAAATGCAAGCAAGTCTATCTTTTTGGGATAGACGAAGTACAAAAAACTTTATTTATTTATTTATTTTAAAATGCATTTTTAAGCAAAAAATTATATAATGGACGAGGGGTTTAACTTTAAAAAGGGCTTTTCAAAAATAAATCAATATAACAAAAATACCGTGTTTTTTATTTTCGCCTCATTGTCATCCTCAGTTAGATCTCATCGAATAGAAATTGTTGTGTGTATGCCACTATGATATTTTCAATCAGTGTTTGCTTCAAGTAGTTGAAGTTCTTAAACAAATGTTCTCAAAAGTGCAATATCACGATCTATTCATACGCCCTCTTCAAGTATTGTATGTTACCAACACCTCTTTTATTTGCTATCTCAAAAAAGCTAATTGTACAAAAAAAGGTTGACAAAAAAGTTGACAAACTCTCATATGATTGCCGGCCCCACGTGAATAAAAAATTGAAACTAAAAAGTGGGCCCCCCACATTGTGAGGGTTTGTCAACATTATTGTCAAACTTTTTTTGTACAAGTAGCAGGGTTGCTTTCTTTATTCCATCAATATGAGACTTGCACCATTTTTCTGGTGGTGGCACTGGCTGAAAGACTTCTGGTTGAGCTCAACATGTCCTTATGTTACGACTTCGTCGAGCAATTTTGTGTACATATCTCAAGCCATCTTACTGACATGGATAAACAGAGGTATATAAACCATCTCCCTTCATGTTTGGTAGCACGGATTGGGTAGCACCAGAAAATTTTACGAATTCATTGCGTGCACTAGATGTATATAAACTACCAAGTGTTTAGTTTCTCGAATAAGTCATTGTTATACTTCTTATCATTCACAGGGAATGCCCTGAAGGGTGCAAGGAAGCTGTATCATCGCTGATGTTTGCAGCAGCAAGATTTGGTGATCTGCCCGAATTACGTGAGCTCAGAACGATATTTTCTGAGAGATTCGGGAAATCCCTCGAGTATTATGTCAATAAAGAGGTAGTAATTCATTATGGCATTGGTGAAATGATGAAAAAGTTTTCGTCAGTAAGTTAAATTTTTTCAGGTTCTTGTACTTAGTTTGTAGAGAAGTTGAAGAGAGACCGTCCATCAAAGGACTTGAAGCTTCAGTTAATGCAAGATATAGCAACAGAATCTGGTTTGGATTGGAATTCAAAAGCTTTGGAAAATGAACTGTATAATGCACAAGTAAGGCCTGAATGTCCCTTCGGATGATCGATAAGGTCAATATCTTCAAATTTTCCATTACCTTTCTAGCCTGATGTATCTTTTTGGCAAACTGCCCAATTCTTTTGCAGGAGTATGGGAAGAAGAACGATGAAAAGGAGAGTGTGCTTCCTCAAAGAAATGATAGAAGTCCAGACGACATTCCTCCTTTAAGTGACAATAAAGTGGAGACTACTAGAAGAAATGAGATGCAAAACGAGGCAGAAACTTTAACAAGTGATTCTGGCAAGGAATCTGAAGCTGACGAACCTTCTAGCTACAAGAATCGTCCTCCTCCTTATACCAAATCAGAAGTCAAAAATTTGGGGGATTCTGAAGGTAATGTGAGAGCAAAGATGCATTTAAAAGAAACAAATCAAGAAAAATCAAATATGGCCCAAAGGATCTTAAAATTCTTGGACAAGGGCCACTGTAATCAGAGTGACGATGAAGAAAGCAGGCTGGACAGGCTTTTAGCACATTACGCTGAAAAGAAGGCACCTCGTGAAACTGAGGAATCTGACTCAGTCCTTAAGATATCCCCAGAACACGATAATATTAGCACAAGCAAAACCACAAGAAAAGATGGTTCTTCAAGGAGAACGGCTTCTCTTCCTGTTGAGTTAACCAGTCCACCCAAAACTCCAAAAGGACATGCTCGAGCCTCATCCTTCCAGCCCGAAATACTGAATTCAAGAGGGAGTGTGCATCCTAAGCTACCAGACTACGATGACTTTATAGCTCGACTTGCAGCTCTCAGAGGAAACTGAATATGCTGATACAGGAATTATTTTTAGAAGTGTCGTTACATTACTTGAAAGTATACACTAGTTTCTTATAACTAGTTCATCTCACAAAAACATATTCATTCATATTATTTCTGTCTAAAGATTATTACACTAAAATGTGAAGCGTAAACATTTATAGATCTTTACTAACTCGACGAAAAAATAAGTTACGCTTGGCTATAAAGAAAAAGAAGACTAGTTATTGTCATTTCGTGCATGTGTTTTACTTGTATCTTTTTCTTTTTGAACATTTTTTCTCGTAGTTTTAGTAGTATCCCATATCGAGAAGTGCGATGAAGTTTGTTTCTTGATGAAGTGATTTACGTTGCAATTTCCTCTTAAGAATCGTTCCCTA